AGGGCATGTAGGAACAGGCTGTCAATGCCAGCTCGATTGCCTCTCTTGGTGCCTTCTTTGGGGCCTCTTGGGCATTTTCGATTGCCTTCAGGGCCGTCTTTGGGCCCTCTCAGGACCCTGTTGTGTTGTCTTGGTGCCATTTAGGGGCCTTTTGGGACGTCTTGGGCTGTCGTAAGCCAGATGGGGCCAGCATGCTAACATTTGCCAACCGCAGAGGACAACGAATTATGAGCTTGCTCTTGGGAGCCTCTTCGGCGTCCTCTTGTAGCCCTCTTGGGTAGTATGGGGATCTCTGGGGCCGGCTTGAGGCCATCGTGGGACCCTCTTGGGGCTCTTGAGCAGCCTTGGTGCCGCCTCGAAGGCCTTTTGGCCGTTTTGGAGCGAGCTTGGCTGTCTTGAGGCGGTTTTGGGCTCTTTGAGTTGCCTCGTTGCATTGTTTTGGCTGCTAGGTTTTGTTGCATGGGTAGTTTTGCGGCTTTTGGCTGTTTTGCCCCTCTCGGGGGGGGGCTGCTTTGAAATTGACCATGTTCTTGGGATGCACCAAAGTCAATAATGCCATTCAGAATGGTCTATGGATAAAGAAGACCACCCGGGGCGGCGGGTGGAAGTTGTTTTGAGCACACCAGTGGCCTATTGGACCAGGGTTTTGTTTACACCATCCGAAACGTAGGAACACTTCGTTTTGCACCGTCGTCGCTACCAGTACCATGTGTGTCTGCATCTGGTGTCCATGCCTGTAGTTGCCTGTGTGCTTACCGTCTTGCCTAGCTGTCTCCGTTTCCGCCCGTCCAGCTGTCCGCCAGTCGGTCATAAGGTAGTTTTTGTTTCTTCTCTCTCTCTCTGTCTCTCTCTTCTCTTTCTAGATGTTTCTGAATCCCCGGGCGTGCCGACAACCCCGAGCCACTTCTCACAGGCGATCTTCTGGACTGCGTGTGTTTCATTCAGGCCCGCTCACGACTCTCGACTGTGAATTCACCTCGCGTGTATGTCGCGTTCCCGCGTGTACCAACGGCCAACCGAGAGGAACCCATATTGTGTTCTCGCTCCCTGCACTTCGAACGTTCCGCCACACACAGCCCGTTGATATGTGGTTCCGCTTTCTCTGCGCATCAACACTGTAGTTATGGTTTTTTTATCGTGCGGGCTGTGCGTTCACGGGCATTGTACATCAGTGTGATTGGTCCATCGAGTTGGGTTGCCTTTTCAGAAACATGCCGTACTACGGGATTCCAGCCAAATTAACCTCTTTACATGTGCACGGCTCTTGATGCGGCTGCTGCGTGTGCACAGGGGTGGGTGGGCGCGTGTAAGCTTATTTTTGACGTTTCGAGGTGCCGACCCTGTTGCATTTCCCATGTTGCTGTGATGTGCGCATTTGGCTCCCGTAGCTGTTTTTGTAACACCTTCGCCTGTGCAGGGCGCAATGGGCAATCAAGCATGCTCAAAGCCAGATGCAGAGAAAAGGAATGACGTGGAGGCGACGGGGCACTAAACAAGCTTGCGCGCCCAGATTCCCCTCCGAAGGGTGGCATTGTTCGGTATTAGTCGTGGGTAGATCCAGATAGAGTTGGCAACGTCAGAGCGAACACTTGAGGCAATAGACCATGCCGCGCGGACCACCCGGGCGCGCCGTGGCGAGGGAGGGCGCAGGAGAGGGGGGGGGGAGCGGAGGCGGGCGGGCGCGGGGGAGGGAGAGGAGGCACCACTGTCGGGCCCCGGAGAATTCCTCGATTTGTCTCCGCTGGAGCGGTGAAAGCCAGGGCACGGCGGCTCGCTGAGCCCTTCCGCTGCGCGTCAATTTCGGGCGTACCGGGCCTATCCTCGATTTGAGGCTGCTGGGAGGGCGCCGGTCTTCCTCCGTTGCATGTTGGGGCAAGTGCGGTGCTCGAGGGCGGCAGTTGTGGAGGTCGTCGCGCTGTCATTCCCCTCAGCGTTCCTCCTTCTCCTCCTAAACAGTGCGCCATAACAAAACGAAAAAATGTCGGGCCCCAGAGAATACACGCCGGTCGTTGAAAGTAGGTATTTTTGGATTCCCAGATCCCAATCTACTTCAAGCGCCTTCCTACTTCAAGAATCGACGTGCTTTTGCTGTGTTTTGTGGTCCTCTGGGAGGACCTGGACCCAATCTACTATATCCGCCTTCCTACTTCATGTCTTTACCTACTTCTTCCGACCGACGTGCAATGCATCCGAGACGAGAAATTGCCTCCAGAAAAGCGGCGGGGACCTCGGGCCGCAGATGGAGCCAGGTCCTGCCGGCGGCCTTATGCAAAGGGGGCCCTCGCCCGGCCTCGGGGCCGTCCGCGCGCGAGCCGGGGCGACAGGCCGGTCCCCGCGATGTGGCCTGGAGCTCCGGGTCGGGAGCCTCGAGACGGGTCAAACCACGCGAAGATCGGGAGAAAATCGGATCGGGGTAACTCGAAATCTCTGAGAACCGGCGGGTTTGGAGGATGTATTGGGCGCCGCGGCCGCTCCAGAGCGTTCCGCCCTCGCCGGGCCTCGGGACCGTCAAAAAACGACTCGGGATGAAGACCCGGTCCTGGGGAAGTGGTCGGGAGGTCGGGGGCCCGTGTCTCGAAAAAATCGAGACGTCGGATGTCTGGGGACGGGGGTCAATCCAAACGGGGGTCGGCCAGAGCGCCCAATCTTGCAGGACCCTGCAGGGCCAGGGTCGCATCGACCCAGGTTTGGGCGCAGGATCCTGCAGGATCCTGCAGGATCCTTCGCGTTGACCCGGGTTTGGGTGCAGGATCCTGCAGGGTCCAGGATCCTGCAAGGCCCGACTGACCCCAGTCTGGATTGACCCGGGTCAGCGGATCCCCGACTGGGGGACCCCGCATAGAAAAATCAAGACATCGGAGGTCTGGGTTGGAGAGTCAGGCGATCGCAAACATGGATCAAGGGGGCGTGGATTAGCGTTGTGGAGGACGATCAAGGGAGAGGAAGCATGTTGCCAAATGATTTCCAGATGTCTAAACATGTCTCAAACATATTTTAAACATGTTAAAGCATGTTTAAAACATATTTCCGACATTTTAAACACGTTTTAAATTCTTTACGCTTCGCGTATCCCCACCAGCCCATCTCACAACAGCAACTCATGCGAAGCATGCCGACAGTCGTGTTTTTCAGGCGTGTGTCCGCTTGGCCCCGCATATCTCCCCTGTTCCTCCTTCCTCCCGCCTCCTTGTACATCCTCCTTGTGGGGGGAGCGGGAGAAGGACGAGGCGGAGGAGGAGGGAGAGAAAGCGCTCCTCGTGATTTGAGTCGTTTGGGGTTTCTCGTCCTGGTGTGAGTCGTTCGGGCCCTTCTTCCTGGTGTGAGTCGTTCGGGCTCTTCGTGGTGTGAGTCGTTCGGGCTCTTCGTCCTGGTGTGAGTCGTTCGGGCTTCTCGTGGTGTGAGTTGTTCGGGCCCCTCATCCTGGTGTGAGTCGTTCGGGCCCCTCCTCCTGGTGTGACTCGTTCGGGCTCCTCGTGGTGTGAGTCGTTCGGGGCCCGCGTCGTGGTGTGAGTCGTTCGGGCTCCTCGTGGTGTGAGTCGTTCGGGCGCCTCGTCCTGGTGTGAGTCGTTCGGGCCCCTCCTTGTGGTGTGAGTCGTTCGGGCTCTTCGTGGTGTGAGTCGTTCGGGCCCCTCGTCCTGGTGTGAGTCGTTCGGGCTCCTCGTGGGGCCTCTTGGGGGCCTCTTGGAGCCTCTTGGGGCCTCTTGGGGGCCTCTTGGGGGCCTCTTGGGGGCCTCTTGGGGGCCTCCTGGGGCCTCTGGGGGCCTCTTGGGGGCCTCTTGGGGGCCTCTTGGGGGCCTCTTGGGGCCTCTTGGGGGCCTCTTGGGGGCCTCTTGGAGGCCTCTTGGGAGGCTCCTGGGGGCCTCTCGGGGCCATCTTGGGGCCTCTTGCGACCTCCTCAGAAGCGCAAAGAAGCGCTGCCCCCTGAGAAGGACAAAATGAGCCCAAAACCTTCGTAAAATCAATGATTTTGCTATGAAGGAAGATGAGCGCGGCCCCCTCGGGAGGCCAACATGGGGCCAAAACCCTCGTAAAAACATTGATTTTGGCTTCAGAGAAGAGGAGAGGTTTTTTTCCGGATCCCCCCGTCGGGGCCAGAATCCTCGTGAGGGTCGTCGTTTTTTGGCCCTCCCAGGAGTCGAAAAAGACCCCTCCAACCACCCGCGGCCCGCCCTCTCCAGACCCAGGGGGAGGGGGTAGGGGGAGGGGTAAACCCCTCCCCGAAGGGGAAGAAGGGGGGTTGAGGACAGAGGGGGCTCTCTAAACCACTCACGCCCTAAAGGGCTGGTGGGATTTTCCAGATGTCTAAACATGTCTCAAACATGTTTTAAACATGTTAAAGCATGTTTAAAACATATTTCCGACATTTTAAACACGTTTTAAATTCGATGATAGGACTGTTAGGGTGTCCATTGTCGTGGCATCCACAAGATTAGCGACGGGTCCCGTTTCCATGGGAAGTCGCGGATTGCCGCCGCCGAGCGAGGCGGCACCTGCGGCATTTTGGGGAGGGCACCTCCCCCGGTCCATGGATTTGGCGACCGCGCGCCAATTCCATGCACCGCCAATCCATGTTTGCGCGCCCCCCGAACAGATGACACAGGGGCGGAGGAGGACCGGGAGGATGAGGAAGAGGACGGAAGACGACGGTCGACGGAGTCGGAGTCGGATGCCTCGGCAGCGGGTGCTCTCGGTGGCCGAGCGCGCGTGACTCGCCCATCTGACGAATGCTTTAGCTGCTAGCTGCTGCACAGGCTGACATTTGAGGGAGCACCCTGGGACCCTGTCAGGATGCGGGGGGGAGGCGAAGGGAGGAGAAGGGGCGAGAGGGGCGGAGACGGGAGGGGGGAGAAGGGAGAGAGGGAGGAGGAGGAGGAGGAGGAGGAGGGGGAGGAGGAGGAGGAGGAGGAGGAGGAGGAGGAGGAGGAGGAGGAGGAGGAGGAGGAGGAGGATTCGGTGGCAACTCATGGGAGGAGGGTGGGAGGAGGGCCCCCCCCCTCGAGGCGATCTCCTCTGGGCAGCAGGCGCGGGACCGTGCCGGCGCATTCGGCCCCCTCACGAGATACTTCAGGGACAGCTACTTGTCCGGCGCTCAGTCAGGCGGCAGGTTCGAGTTCCGTGAGTCTCCCTGAGAGGAGGGCGGAGGGACGCAGCAGTTTGCAGGTCGGGGCCAAGACAGGAGTCAGTTGCGGCCCGCGTGCTTAGATGTCAGACTTCGTGAGTCGGGATCCCTGGAATCGTCTCTGGACCCGTAGTGGCGTAGCAACAGGTGTCCTGGTAGACCTTCGGCACCACATCAATCTCCAGCTGGCGTACCTTTGGAGTCCCGAAGCAGTGCGGTGACGGAACGTGCGGTGACCTCGAAATCCTGGATCCCCCAAGACCTCACCGCACGGTCCGTCACCGCACGGTTTTGAGACCTTGGAGGCCCCTGTCGCCCGAGACGCCCTCGGAGAGGGACCCGAGTGCCAAAACCGTGCGGTGACCCCAAGTCCCCACCGACTCGCCGCACGGTGTGGTCACCACACCGTTTGGGGGGCCCCCGAGTAGCGAGAGCTCGTCTCTTGGCACCCCGAGAGAAGGGCGTTACGAGAGGGGTGGAGGGGCCTGGCAATGCCGCGGTTGGTGCCCGCGGGATACGGTACAGTCCGGGCTCGGAGTGGCTTGGGATCAAGTCGGGCGTGTCCCTCTACATGGGGAATATCCACAAATATTCAACAAATAGTCCAAGGACGTTTGTTTGAGTTGTTTAAGCATTTTTGGAGCATTTTTTGAGTATGTTTCATTTTTTGTCCAACATTCGCCTGTAGGGGGACACGCCCGACTTAAGCTTGGGACGACGCCGACGCCGCCGACCGACGGTCGGTGGCTGCCAGAGGCCTCCCGAGCGGAGGTGCACACGGGCGGTGTGTGCACAGGCGTTGTGGTGCACACGGGCATCGAGGCGCTGTTGTGCACATCCCTGCTGATGCGGCATCTGCGGTGCAGGGCTGGACCTAAACGGTGTTGTTGGCGATTTCGTGGGCCGTTTTCGTTTCGACTTCGTTTTGAGGTAAAGGGGGATTCGAGACAAAAGCGAGGGACAACGAAAACAAAACGAAAACGCAAAACACAGTGTAGGTTCAGGCCTGCTGCGGTGTGCGCAGGCACCGTGGTGAACACAAGCGTTGTGGTGCGTGCGCGCAGCTGCTGTGGTGTACATGGTAAACGTGTCGTGCACAGGCGTTGTGGTGCGCGCGTATGCCTTATGCAGCAGCGTGCACTGCGGCGTACACAGACATTATCGTTCACACAGGTTCTGTGCCGTTGCGGAAGGGGCTTGTCACGGAGGGAGTCCGTTATGCCGCGTCCGCTTCGGGCCGTGTCGGAGGCACTTTGAATCTCTCGGATAGCTTCTTGAGACCATCCTGTGCCGAAGGGACGGCATCGAAGTCTTTTGGCTTTTGAACGTGGCTTGCCTCCAGGGCCGTCGGCGAATTCTTTCCTCGGCAGCCTTTGGCGGGCTTCTTCGATCGTTGAGACTTGGTGAGGGTCCTTGGGCCATCATCGGCTAGTCTTGGGATAGACTGCAGCCATCTTGGAGAGGTGTTGGGCGGTTGTAAGGGCGGAGTCCTCTAGCGTTCGAAAACAACGTCAGATAGCAAAACTGGGTCCGTTTTTCTATGGACGATCGCTACGAGGAGTGGGCCTAGAGAAGCTGCGAAAGCTCAACCAGCCAATTCACAGTTCAGCCAAGTAATGCACCCCGAGGTGCCGAGTGAGCAGTCCGACTCGGACAGGGACAGTGCCTACCATACGAATCATCAGATGATGGTGTAGCACAAGGATGGACATGACGGATCGTCTGGGGGGGCGGCTTGGGAATAGTGGAGCGCTCCCATCCTTGTCTTCCTTGCCTCCCTTCCCTTCCCCCTCCTCTCCGCCCCCCCCCCCTCCCCCCCCCCCTACGGCTGTCGTATGGACCACTGCCAGGTCGGGCGCTCCGTATTATGGCCCCGAGTACACCCTGTGCGAGGAGGAGCGATCACAGCGAGGCATGCTGACGCACGACCTGTGCGGCGCTCAGCGGCGCGGCGCCAGAGGCGCCGCGGGCTGAAGCCCGCAGGCGTCTGCCGCCGTGGGGACGTCGAGGCGTTGCCCCTCTTCCCCGCCTCTCGTTGCGCATGTGTGCGCGTTTGCGGGGGAGGAGGAGGAGGAGGAGGAGGAGGAGGAGGAGGAGGAGGAGGAGGAGGAGGAGGAGGAGGAGGAGGAGGAGGAGGAGGAGGAGGAGGAGGAGGAGGAGTTTGTGGGTGCCGCCGCCTACCACGCTTGGAATCAAAGGTTCTGGGCGGCCGAGCTGGCTTCTCCGCAGTGGCAGGGGCGCCACTTGGCAAGGGCGCCGACGCCGTACCCGACGTTCTCTCGCGCTTCTCTCACGCACAGGCGGTGGCGCCTTGCTACCGTCGCTCGCAGCCTTTCCTCTCGGCTGCGGGGTCGAGTTCTTGGGTGCCACCCCACTGCGGCACCGGGTCGCGTGCGTCTCTCCCCCGCGCAGACGTGGTCTCGCCACGGAGTGCCCGCCGCTCGTGCGGGCTTTGCACAGTCAAGTGGGCTGCGAGCTGCGAGGCTCGCAGGAGCTTCCCATCTGCACCTGTCCGTGCCACCTGGCCCGCACCAGTTCCCACGGCCTCTGGCACCTTCCACGTGCCTTCGAGCCGGCGTGCCGCCGACGAATACACGCGCAAAAGTGCCGCTCCCCGGCTCCCCAGACATCCGACGTCTTGATTTTTTCGAGACGCGGGCCCCCGACCTCCCGACCACTTCCCTGGGACCGGTTCTTCATCCCGAGTCGTTTTTTGACGGTTCCGAGGCCCGGCGAGGGCCCCGAGAGGCCGAAAATTTAGAAAAACCTCCGTCTCGATTTTTTCGAGACGCCCGATGTCTGGGTCTGGTATGCGCTTTGGCTCCGCGATCTCCTTGCCCCTCCTTGCCCTTGCTTGGTCAGCCCGCCCGGCGGCTGGCCGGATCTCTCGCGCCGGTGCTGCGGCCCCGTCGACCAGCCGCAGTGCCTCAGGAGGGAAGAAAGCACGCAGACACAATGACTCGTCGATCCCCCAGAAAATACGGGGAAATATGGGAAGTGGGGGGGAAGACAAAAACCCCCAAGATATTGAAACATAGGGGGAATCCTGTTATCTGTGTGTATTTGTTTGTGTGTCCTTGGGCCCCTTCAAGTTGGCCAAGCTGTGAATGTGACATGTCTAGGACACGTCTTGTGAAGGCTGCATGAAAGACTCGGGGGTGTTCAGAACACCCACCCTGACACGTCAATTAGTGAATTGTCCGTTTTCGGTTCTCGAGAGGGCGCCGCGGTCGTCATTTTCCAGGCTTGCGCCCGCCAGGTTTGGGCCCGAGGTCGTTTTCACTAAGCCACGTTTTACTAAAGGGTGTTCTGTCCATCCCCGAAAGGCCCACGCTTTGCGCGACTCGCCGGGGATATCGGAATGCGACACTTAAGGATCGCTCTGAACCAGCTGCTTCCGTCCACTCCGCGTCGGTGCCAGCGCAGCATTCTGGGTGGCAGCGACTCGGGAAGGCAGGGGGGCCTGCTGGGGGCCTCCTGTGGCAGATGGCTCGAATGCTTGGGTCGTGTTCCCACTCTTGGGCCCTTCTTTGGGGCCGTCTTGGGTTCCACTTGGACCAGTCTCGACGCCTCTTGGGGACCTCTTGGGCCGTCTTGGAGCTCTGCTGGGGGCCTCTTGAGCTGTCTCAGGGGAGTCTTGCGGCCTCTTGGGCCGTTTTGGAGCGGGGGGAGTTCGCAAAGGCTAGAACCCTAGAACACATTGAACAATTACGGGGCGATCCACTGTTTTGGCCTCTCACAGCTCTGGTGCGGGCCTCTTTGGGGCCTCTTTTGGTCTTCTTTGGGTCCCCTGAGTCCTCTTGGGGTGGAAGGCTCGAATTGTCGGTTCGTGTTCTCCGTCTTGTGCCCTTCTTGGGGCCATCGTGGGACCCTCTTGGGCATACGTGGGCGCCTCATGGGTCTTCTTGGAGCCCTCTTGGGCCGTCTTGGGGGCCTCTGGGGTCGTCTTGGGGCAGTCACGATTTTCTCTTCGGTCGACTTGGGACGTCAGAAGCTCGAAAAGGCGAGACCCGAGTCACGTCCCTCCTTTCTCGCTCCTCCTCCCTCCCCTCCTGCTGCTGCTGCTGCTCCTCCTCCTCCAATCGCGCACGCTGTGCATTATGAGACAGCCGACGTGCAGTCGCTCCCGCAAAGCGGCGAGTTCAGGCTGGCACTGTCTTTTGCCCACGCGCTCCGGCGTATGGCAGTTCGTTCGTTCGTTCGAGTAACGGTGACACATCTAAGGAACATCATTGGTTTTTGCCTCTCGAGACCCTCTTGAGAAGGCTCTTGGGGCTCTCTCGGGACGCCTCGAAGGCCTCGTGGCTCGTCTTGAAGCCATCTTGGGCCGTCCTGAGGGCAAAGTGGCCCGTCTTGGAGCGATGTTGCGCCGTCTTGGAGGCATCTGGGCCTCGGGAGCGCGAGCCAGCCGAGTTAGCGAGGGATTGCGGCCTCTGGAAGATGGAGTGGTGCATGCAGGTAAGTGCGACCAGGTAAGTGCGACCAGGAGTGCGACAGCACTTGGCATTCTAGCACGCCTCAACCTGTCAGGGGGCACGGAAGCGGATCCGCGTAGCGCCGCTCTGCGGTGGAGTCCTCAGCAGTCCACCAAAGTGGCGACAGTCTCACAGCTCGCAGCCCGCAGGGAAGGCGAGGTCTAATCTGAATCTGCCGTACCGTAGTACGTATCTGTGCAGGACCTCCAAGCAGCCCACGAAAGTTGCGACGGTTTCAAAGTTCGCACCCCGCAGGGATGGCGAGGTCTAGTCTGGATCTGCCGTGAAAAGTTATTGTGCTGGGCCTCCGGGCAGCCGACGTGCACGTCACTACGCTGGACGTCCCAGGAGCCCGCGACAGTGGCGCGACAGTCTCACAGTTCGCAGCCCCTCCCCAGTGATGTCGAGGTCTGATCTGGATCCGCGTAGGACGTCACTGCGCTGGACCTCCCAGCTGCCCCCGAAAGTGGCGACAATGTGAATGGCGAGGCTTCGTCTGGGTCCGCCTACAGTCGGACCTGGGCCAGAAGAGCACCCTGCAAAGGACATGAGGCCCTCGGCGCCGGCCAACACGCGCAGCACATCCGAGGGCACCCTCCCCAGGAGGCACACCAGAACGTCCAGCATCCACGAAGAGCACCAGGGCACCCTCCCCGAACCGACCTTGATGCTGTTGCACCTCCGTCCGACGGCACCACGGGCACACGGCAGAGGGGCATGTGCTTCACGCGCCAGGGGGGAGGACCTGGCGGCGGCAAGTCGTCCCCTGATTTTTTTTTTCACCATTCTCGAATATTCCTCCTGTCGAGGGACATGCCCGACTTACAATCGTAGTTCGGATCACCAGCGGCCAATCCTGAGGATTCCTGCAGGGGCTGCCCCGGAACGCTGCTGGCGGGGCGCAGTTGCCGGAGAGCACCCCAGGGCCGCAAAAAACCAGGTGGGGGTCAAGCTGCGGTGGCGTCCGAGCGCCTTGTGAGGGCGAGGGCGGCGGCGAGATGTGGCGAGGGCGAGGGCCTCCCCGCCGCCAGGTCCTCCCCCCTGGCGCGTGAGGCACACGCCCCTCTGCCGTGTGCCCGTGGTGCCGCCGGACGGAGGTGCAACAGCATCGAGGTCGGTTCGGGGAGGGTGCCCTGGTGCTCTTCGTGGATGCTGGACGTTCTGGTGACGGTGTGCCTCTTGGGGAGGGTGCCCTCGGATGTGCTGTGCGTGTTGGCCGGCGCGGAGGGTCTGATGCTCTTGGAGGGTGCTCTTCTGCCCCAGGTCCCTGGCATCGCTCGGACGTGTGCATTTTTTTTTGGTCGGCGAGGACCATCGAGGAGCATCCTTGATCATTTGGCGAGACAAGCCACGCACGAAACCGCACAAAAACACAGGGAATGGACGTCCGAGCGATGGCGAGGGTCCGGCCGCAGGCCAGCGGGGGCGGGCGCAGCACCACTCTGCCGGGCTGCTGCGCTCCCTCTCCTGGCCTCCGCGGCGGCTCCACTCTGTGAGGAAGGAGCGCGCCGTGCACGCCGGTGCTGCTGGCGGCGCGGGCCAGGGTGTCTGGGAGCTGGGCGAGGGCGGGCAAGTCCCGTGGCTGCTGCCACGGTCTTCCCGGAAGAAGAAGATCCCTTCCCGGAGTCAAGCTCAGCGCACGGAATAGTACACGGGCTGCTTCCCGGAAGAAAATGGCAATTCCCGGAGCTCCGTTTTTCAAGCAGTGGCGAAGCGTCCTGGCTCGCCTATAGCCCTACCAAACAATGTTCTAAGAACCTATTGTGTTTCCCACGAAATGTTCTTAGAACATGTGTGGTTGGGGGCGTCTTGTTTTAACACATGAATGTTCTAGGAACATGGTTTTTGTCATAAAGACATTTTTGGGTTCCAGGAACATTTCGTGGTAGGACTATACGAATGCCGGGACGGTCGGTCCCTGCTCAAGTTTTAGCAGCCACGGGTTTGCCAGCCGTCGCCTGGCTTCTGAGATATGCGCTCGGGTCGGGCGACCGGGGGGGTGTCACCGCCCACCAAACCACCTCAACCCAACCCGAAGGCCATGATCTGCCCTCCATTTCCAGTGGGGGGGGCGGGAAACACCGAAAAGCACATATGAAGCCCGTACCACCCCCAACCCGAAATTCGGGTCTTCGGGTTGGGTTGGGGTGGTCTGGTAGGTAGTCAGGGTGCCAGTCTTCGGGCCAACGCTCCTGCAGGCAGCCTGCTCAGGCCCTGCCGCTGGGCGTGGGCGCCTCCATGCGCGCTCCGGCGCCGGGAGGCGGCGGGAGAGCCAGCTGCGTGAGGCGATTCGCTGACGTTAGGTCGGGCATGTCCCCCTACAGGGGGAGTTTTGGACGAAAAAATTATAGTAACAAATATCCCCAAATGGTACAAGATAGTCAGAAAATCGTCCCCAGACTGTTTGTGGACTATTTTTCGAAGCTTGCTCCTGTAGAGGGACAGGCCCGACATAA